TTTGAATGACCCAATGCCAGATTTGAATGACCCAAAGCCAGATTTGAATGACCCAAAGCCAGATTTGAATGACCCAAAGCCAGATTTGAATGACCCAAAGCCAGTTTTGAACGACCCAAAACCAGTTTTGAACGACCCAAAACCAGTTTGATGACCCAAAGCCAGTTTGAATGACTCAAAGCCAGTTTGGAAGACCCAAAGCCAGATTTGAATGACCCAAAGCCAGTTTTGAATGACCCAAAGCCAGTTTGAATGACCCAAAGCCACTGACCAAGATCCACCAGATTTAGGAAGCTGTGGAAGTGTCGCGCGAAACTGTGTACGGATCGCGATTTCTTTTGAGTGTAGTTTTATTCGTTGAATTTTATTTAGTACCCGAAACCGCGAATTTTTATCATCCTCCACTTTATTATGTACTCCATTTTAGTTGGGACATTTAGCAAAAGTTGAAAAAAAGAAAAGCAAAACGCGAAAGAGGGATGAAGTTATTAAACCCGTCGCGACGTAATAAATTCTCGTATCGATCGAAAATATTGGGTAGGCATTCGTTACGAAAATTGACTCTAAATTGAATTAATAATTGGAGGGCGTGTGCACCGAGTAGTGCAGTAGAGTTCGGTTGTCTTCCGTCCATCCTTGGTAGTTCAGCTTCAAACATGCACATGCACACACATATATAACCAACCACCAAACCCTCAAAAAATTCACTCACAGTTCGCAGAAAGCAGCTGGGCTCTGCAACGTGGATTTTGGCTGCATAGCCTCCTTCCTTCCTCTCAGATCATCATCCTTCAGTCAATCATTCCAGTTCCAGTTGATTATCCAAGACTCACAGACTCACAAATTGTGAGTCACTGTGGAATGGACGACGCGAAAAGTATTTCGAAACGCGATTTATTTAGAGTGGGAGAAACCGCGAATTTATATTATTTAAAATTTGACTAAACTTTCATAGAACGCGAGTGAAAAATCGAAAGAAATATCAAATAAACGCGGTATATAAATTAAATAAAAAGCAAATTTGGAGGAAGTATCAGATAAACGCGCAAAAAATATTCAATAATAAGCGAACTAGGGATGAAGCTATTATAGTAATCAATGCAATGACTCTAGCACTTGAATTGAAAAATATGTATTTGAAAAATCGATTATTTATTGCGAAACACTAGTAAGACGGTTTAATTGGGGACAGTTCAATAGACAATACAACTAACTACCCATATCGCCAGAAAAAAAAAAACCCATTTTTGTCACTCACCCATTCACCATTCGCAGATTAAACAGCTGGGCTCTGCAACGTGGATTTGGCTGCATTTCCTTCCTTCCTTCCTCTCAGATAGTCATCCTTCAGTCAATCATTCCAGTTCCAGTTGATTTTCCGAGACTCACAAACTCAAAAATTGTGAGTCACTGTGGAATGGACGACGCGAAAAGTATTTCGAAACGCGATTTATTTCAGTTTTATTCAGAGAGGGAGGAACCGCGAATTTATGTTACTTCAGATTTTATTATCGAACAAAACTTTCATAGAACGCGAGTGAAAAATTGAAAGAAAGTAGAAAATAAACGCGGTATATAGATTGAATGAAAAGGACAAACGCGAATTCGTATCTTTTTCGATTCTGTAATATAAGGAAATTTGAATAAAATACGCGAAGATAATTGGGGAGAAGCATAAGTTAAACGCGTAAAAATATTCAATAATAAACGAACTAGAGACGAAGCTATTATTACAATACGCGATGCAACGACTCTAATATTTATAAAGATTGAAAAATTCTCGTGTAAACTTCGAAAATAGATTAATTTCGGTAAACTGGTAAGACGGTTTAATCAAGGGTGGGCATATGTGCACTCGTTCAAAATCAGCTCAAGTAAACAACTAACTACTTAACATGCAAATCATGCAAATTCCTTGTAAATAATTAGTTTACAAAATAACAAGTCGTCGAATAAATTCAATATCAGAGAAAATATCAGAAAAATAAAAGAAATTCGAAAAACTGAAAGAAAAATTTCGAATGAATTTCAGTAGCTGTAAGAAAAGTACGTATTATCGATTATTAAGCTGTAACACCAAAGTATTTAATTAATAGATATCTGAAACGTCCAAAATTTCATTAGTAAACATCTCAAATTCACTTCAACGCCCTATTCGACAAGACCGAAGAACAACGACTAAAGTTCAAACGTGGAGTTCCCTAAATCTTCGAAACAATTTCGAAATATTTTACTCGAAGTGGAATATTCAAAGTCCGATTGGGAAAATAATTTTATTTTATTTCTAAACCGAAGTTCGAAGTCGAGTATTTAAAGTCTGATATTAAGTGCCTAGCAAGTACCGGTAATTGTTAAAGTTTGATTTAAAAAACAAAAAATTTGTCTAACAGGTAGTAATTGAAATTCTATTTGATTCTATAGTATATAAGTGTTACAAGAAGGCTGAGTGTGTATAGGGTAGACATAGGCTACCTAGTAGCCCTCGACCACCGTATTCACATCTCAGAACCTTCAGGTCAAAATATGCCGCGAAGTGTCTAGGGCCCAGTATAAAGGGTGAATGAGCTCCCGCAACCTCGGCGGTCCTTATATACCTTCGGTACCCTCTCCCCAAAGTCATTAGCAAAGACGTTAGCAATGTCAGGCGCGAGACTTCCTTTTCGCGGGAAATCCGCTATTTTTCGCGGGAATCGATTACTTTTCGCGGGAGATCCGCTATTTTTCGCGGGAATCGATTACTTTTCGCGGGAGATCCGCTATTTTTCGCGGGAGATCCACTATTTTTCACGGGAATCGATTACTTTTCGCGGGAGATCCGCTATTTTTCGCGGGAGATCCACTATTTTTCGCGGGAATCGATTATTTTTTGCGGGAAACTTTCATAATTCTATTATAACATTATAATACCGTATAGTTTATTAATTTTTACAATTTTATTATAAACTTATACTTCCAACAATTTGTTATAAGTCTACACATTATCATTTACACATTTTTGCAATTTCTTTCAATAACCAACAATGTTTTAATGTTCTTATTACTTTCTCGTGGTGAGACGAAGTTCGTAATGATTAAACATCAGGTCGACCTGTGGTCGTAGATTAAAAATAGCCATAGTAAAGCTAAAATTATCGTGTTAAATAATTCTTTTCATAAGAAAAATTTATTCAACGTTTGTATAAACGTATGTATAAAGAAACCCTCAGACCAACGCGAAATATTCGAAATTCGCCTGTTTTTTCACGCTGAAGTACGAAATTATCGCTACACAGTAAAAGATTTTTTTTAATTCAAGACTAAATTTACATTTATTTCAACAACGTTATATCTGCGATGTAAAACCCGTGAAATTGTAAATGTAACGTTATTGAAATAAATGTTTATAGCTTAAGTTAAATTGTATTTGTAAATTTCTGTAAAATTGATCCAATAATCAAATATATTACTGCAATCAACTTGAGTATTTGATTTATAAATATTTACAGATTAAATTAAATTGTAACTGTGATTTTACTATATTTATTTCAATAACGTTATACACTGCTCGCCAGAGAGATCGCAACACCTAGAAATTGAGGTTACACAAATCTGGGAATCACAGAAAATTACCTTTTTTAACCAAATTTTAATCATTTTCCCCTTTCAATACCACAATCGATATATGAAAAATTTCAGATTTGTGCGATTTCGTTTTTCAAATGTTGCGATTCTTTTAGCGAGCACTATACTTACGTGTAGCACTTGCTTTCTTTCAAATTTCCGTAAAAATTAAGTTTTTCTCAGCCGTCACAGTAGAAAGACCCCTTAACCTTCTGAGTGCTATGGACGTATATATGCGTCCGGCGAAAGCTATCGGTGTGGACTATGGACGCATATATGCGTCCGTCAATTTCTTCGATCTCCCGTGTAGTGTAGTTACAATTATCTTTATATGAGATGGATACATGGGTTCCTTAGCTACCTACGAAGAATACACGTGTGTTGTTTAATTTGGTGTAAAAGAATTACAATAATAATTTATTGTTAGTTGCGTCTTGTACACTCAATCAACAGAGTTCACACTAGCAAAAAAGTATTCCGTCCATACGAAGAGCTTCGGCAGAGAGTATTCAGCACTCAAAGGATTAACCCCTTAAACTATGATTTCTTTTCCGACTATGCATCTAAGCGTCGGCCATTTTCTCTTTTAGTATTGTATCAGGTAAGAAAAATTAATCTGTCATAGGTTAATTACATTTAGCAATCTTCACTCCTACAAATTTAAACGAAAATTAGGATTACTATTAATTTTTCTTACTAGTACAACTATTTTTGTCACATCTTCGTCAGAATCTCTGCCACGAGTCTGACACGTTGTCATGTGTTAAGGCAGGGGTTCCCGAAGTGCGGCCCGCGATGGCAGATCAGCCGCGATCTTAAATTTACAGAGATAATTTACATTTTTACAAAAAACTAAATAAATTTTATATGTAATATATCTTATTATATAGATTGTATATATTTTATTGTCTTAACGGCCAATGGCCGTAATTGTCCTAACGGCCCGCCAAATATTTTCGAATTTACAATTTGGCCCACCTAGGCAAAACTTTGGGAACCCCTGTGTTAAGGGGTTAATCGTCTTTCCGTACTAGAAAAAAAAAAATCACCGACTGCGAACGTGTTAAAATCGTCTCCTTTCGTTTCTTGCAGGATGAGGAGGAAGAAACAAGGAGTCACCGAGGGCGAAGGAGCATCGATCCTGCTACTCGTCGCATTGACTCCTGTTATCTGCTCCGCCGGAATCCTGGACCCTTGGCAGTGGGCACGTAGCGATCGAATCGAGGTCAACATCCCTTGGCTGCCATGTAATTATCCTGCGAGATTGTTATTTTCCAACCGGCTAGTATTTGGTGCTCCTACCTCTGTTAGATGCCTATCTCTTAACGGATTTCTAGATCGTTTGACTACTTACACTCTTCCAAAATTCTGGGGTAAGTTTCTTTTTCTCGTTTTCTCCTACAAAAAGACAGCCTCGCCTTCATCACTATCATGATAGGATCCTTCGATAATATTCCTATTTCTTTTTTTTTAACGCTAGAACTAACGAAAAAGATCAAAATGATTAGGTTCATATTGGGTGAGTATGGTGATTTAAGTGGAAAATTTGTAAATATTGAATTTATCGTTTGTTTTGTGTTGCAGTTTTGTAAAATAGTCGGAAATTCATTGTTCAAACGGAGTTGGTAGTCAAAAAGTCTAAATATCTGAAAATGAAAAATCTGTGACTTGGGTCACAGTCTTATCTTGTAAAAAACGATAGAAATTATCACGTATTGTGATAATGGAGTATCGTTTGAAGGAACAGGACATTGAGTGTATTAATGCAAAAGCGAAATTTTTGTTTACGAAAATATGTCGAGAATCGATTAGCATAAGCGTGACTACGATTGAGACGGTATAATGCTTAGAGATTTTAAAAATTGTTTATACTCAATTTTCTGTGATCGAAGACAGAGTAAACACTGTGAAGAAAACGTACATATTTCCATAGTGAAGACATATTGATACATTATACATATACCTATCTCACAAGCAACAAACAACAGTAAAACAAAAAACGACTAAATCCATTATTAAACAAGTACATAATAATCATTTTGGATAAATCCAAAGTATCACAAATATTCTAACAGAAACTGAATTATTACACATTCTCATTACATAAATCCCAACAAAAATTACGCAATACAAAACAAATTACTTCTTTTTTACGAATACAACTATTGTCAGTTATCCATTTTGCAAACGAATTAAATTTCAAATAGTAGAATGTACACTACCGGCCGAAAATTTGGAATCACCTGCCAATTTGTATTAATATTGAATCTGCTACTAATTCTTTATTCATTTGAAATTGACGTTGTGGAGATCAATAGCACTTTACCTCATTTCGATTGATTTGAATGATAAAAAATTCGTTGAAAAATTATTACAAACACTAACTTTTTTGGGGGAATTTTTGTGCAACTTGCAGTGCACAGTGATTCCAAACATTTGGCCGGTAGTGTAAATATTCTGATATAATTCTAACGGAATTTTATTCGATGATTTTTATGTTATAATTCCTATTAATTTACACTTTATCAGTCGAGAATCCATTTCGATTGATTTGAATGATAAAAAATTCGTTGAAAAATTATTACAAATACTAACTTTTTGGGGGGAATTTTTGTGCAACTTGCAGTGCACAGTGATTCCAAACATTTGGCCGGTAGTGTAAATATTCTGATATAATTCTAATGGAATTTTATTCGATGATTTTTATGTTATAATTCCTATTAATTTACACTTTATCAGTCGAGAATGAAACACGTTGCTACGACGAGCTAGGGTGCCTGAACATAACCAGGAGCTGGTACCACCTCATCCACAGACCACTAAATGTGTTTCCTCTGCCGCGAGAAGTGATCAATACGAGATTTATTTTGTACACGAAGGACAATCCCACCGACGTGAGTACATAAAATTGTTATTAATTTAGTATCGCAACTAAGTGTCACAAGAAAACTCGAATTTTACAAGAAATTGTTTTAAACAGATGTTCAATTACATACAGGGTGTCCCGTAAAGAGTGTAACACCGGGAAATGGGGGGTTGCTGGGGTGACTCTGAACAACTTTTTCCTTGACCAAAATGTTGTTTGAAGCTTCGTTTTCGAGTTATTAACGAAAAACACTGGCCAATCAGAGCGCCCGTAGAGCCAGCGCTCAGGGACGAGCGAACAGAGATTCACCCGCGCGCTATCGTGAACAAGCGTACGCGTGACTTCTCGGTTATCGATTGCTGTCAAAAAAATTTTGGCTTTGCACCGCTATTTTTATAAGGCTTAGAGAAATGGTTTTTTGTCGTCATTCCCACGTTTGTATAAATTTTTGAAAAAATTGCAATTAGTTGGAATCGCGCGCGAATGAGCCTCTGTTCTTCGTCCCTGAGCGCGGGCTCTACGCGCGCTCCGATTGGCCAGTGTTTTTCGTTAATAATTCAAAAACGAAGCTTCAAACAACATTTTGGTCAAGGAAAAAGTTGTTCAGAGTCGCCCCAGCAACCCCCCATTTCCGGGTATTACACTCTTTACGGGACACACTGTATATTCGAGTGTGAGTGAACTGTAAATTCGTCGATATTTTTGTTTACTAAATAAGTATTTCAATTTCCACACCTATGATACCGTAATCTATATCCAAATTCGGTGTGTCCAAAATTCTTAAAAAAAGAAAATTGTTATTTTTATAAAAAAAAAAAAGAGAGAAAGATGTATCGTAAAAAGTAGGAAGATGCAGAAAAGATTTACGAGGTTATTATCCTTATTACCGAGGAGGCGAACGTTTTTCTAATAACTATTAAAGGAAATCTGGGAACGATTCGTGAAATTTATTCGTCGAACACAGTTTGTCGAATGCTAATTGCGGTAAATCAACATTCTAATTAACGTGGCATGAATAATAAAAAAAACGGAACTCGATACGTGGAATAGAGCGATGCAACGAATCACGTTCTATTACGTTAATTGAATCGTGATTTATGCGATTCATAATTAACAAGAAGCTCGGTAGAAAAGCGGTGATCTATCTCACGATCGATCTATCAGTCTTTGTTCTGTCGCCTTTACGAATCTCCGTTATTAATTAAGCAAATGTGGGAGCACACTGATGCATTCGTTAATTTCTCTTCTTTCCTGATTGATGAAACACCGACTTAAGAGAAATTTGTTGGATCTTGAAATATTACGGATACACAGTTTAATGCTTTTTTTTTATTATTATTTTAACGCGATAAGGTGAGATAGACTTAAACGAAGGAGATAAATGTATTTGTGTATCTTTATTCGTTTCCACGTTTCCTAACCTAAATTTATTGTATATTTACATTTCCTTATTACTAACTTGTACCTAATTCTCTTATATTTACCATTTCTTACTCGTGTTACTATCCACTCGACAGAGTGAGAGAGAGAGAAAACTGGCGTGATGGAGAGAGAGAGAGAGAGAGAGAGAGAGAGAGAGAGAGAGAGAGAGAGAGGGAGAGAGAGACACAGCTGGAGAGAAAGAGAGAGAAAGAGAGAGAGACAGGTGGAGAGAAAGAGAGAGAGAGAGACACAGGTGGAGAGAAAGGGAGAGAGATATGGTGAGAAAGGGTAAGAAAGAGAGAGAGAGAGAGAGAGATGGAGAGAAAGAGAGACACAGGTGGAGAGAAAGGGAGAGAGATATGGTGAGAAAGGGTAAGAAAGAGAGAGAGAGAGAGAGATGGAGAGAAAGAGAGACACAGGTGGAGAGAAAGGGAGAGAGATATGGAGTATTCTTCAACTTACTCCTTATCTTATAATTTCTTCCTCTCGACTTCCGTCTCCTTCCTCCTCGTTCATTCTTCATCCCTCCTCCTTGTTATCACTCATTTCCTCCCTCTATCTCTCCCCTCTCTCATCCTCCTCACAAAGATGATAAATAATACATATATTCTTTGCAATTTTATTATATATCGTATATTAATAATAGAAATATTATATAGCATTATTTATTGATATTACGATAAACTAACATTCGTAGTAAAAGAATGGTTTAATTATTTGCACCGTGGCACACATTCTGCTGTTATAATTAGCACAGCCTTCTAACAAGTATAACAGCACTGTAATTGTCACGCGCTAATTAATTTACACCTTCATTCCGTTTCCAGGAGTAATTATAGACTATAATAGAAAGACGACAATCTAGTTTAAGCAACAATGTAATTAATACGATACACGAACTCTTATATCTTGGTTACAATTTTTATGGAAAGTTTAAAAAATTTTTCAATTTTTCCATAACATCTGTGTCGAAAAATTTCTCATTTGTCATTTTTGAAAATAAGAATAGGAGAAGATTAAAAAGTAGTATTTTTTGTTTTTTCATTCTTGTTACAGGGTCAAGTGCTGATAGTTGCTAAAAATAAATCAATTAAGAGGTCATACTTCAATCCGAAGAGGCAAACGAAGTTCATTATACACGGGTTCATAGACACCCCGCTTAGCAATTGGGTCAAGGTAAGTCAATGATATCTTGACATTCTTTTTACATATTTATCTCTCAATTATTAGCGTTCAGCCGAATGGGTTTATGACATGGACGCCAGACCACGTTAGTTTTTAGATTTTATAGTTCAAATTTTCGTATTACAATCGACCATTCAAGCCAAAAGGTAAGGCCCGGAATTACTTTATGGGCGCAAAAACTTTGCACTCTGGCGAGCCACCTGGGTTTCCAGATACTTGCAAATTCAGTAACAGTAGACGTGTCATAAGCCCAGAACGTGACAAGAGGCTGCTTCAAAATTGTTGCTTACAAAAATTGTAACAAAAAAATCGACACAAAGCGCGGTACTGTCAGCGACACTAGACATTGAAATATTCATTAAAGTGCGACTAGCTGCGACATTCGATTAACTGAACAAAGTTCACGACAATTTTCCCGTCGCCATTCTGTTGGCACATACGTGCCATAATACAAACAACGCCAACCGAAACGCGGGAAGCTGTGTTTAAAATTAGATTGAAATACCTGTTGCATTATTCTTAGGCTGTAAATTACTTGAGCTCAATGAAAAGTAATATTACAGCATAATTGAAATGTATTTAGTTACATCTGAAATAATTATGAAGTATGATATGTTCAGATAAAAAATAAGAAGTGGTGTGAATACGTTGATATATTGAAAATTGAATTACAATTTACTTTTATTGTTCATAGAATGTTGTTATACCTGAAATCTTTTATTATATATTTTATTATATTTCTAACTGGTGATTTTCTAATCATTGCCGTAGGAAATGAGAAATGAATTACTGAAACATGATAACTACAATGTCATCATAGTTGACTGGGCTGGAGGAAGTCTACCTCTTTACACTCAAGCAACAGCCAATACAAGACTGGTGGGCCTTGAAATAGCTCATCTCATTAAACACTTACAGGTAAAGTGAATTTCCGAGCAAAGAGGCTAGCTGCTCTTACAGTATTGGAGAGGTTGTTGAAAAACTGTTCAAAAAGCTTATAAACACTGATTTATAACCTGATTTTCAAACAGACTTTTAGATCACTTAGGTTCATTTTTAGGTGGTACAAATATCTCAAAACCTGAAGGTGAAGAAATGTCAAATTCTTGACTAGAATGATGAAGAAAACTGAAAGTATGTTACATAAATCTATAATTTAAAATAGACAGTCCACTTTTCACTGCTTCTCGTATAGTGAATATATTATTTAATTCATAGCTTGATTTATGGAAAGATTTATGAGCAATGGATTACAGAGAATTTTCCTTACACCTTATTCTTTTTTATTAACTTACTTTATCTTTGTATACAATTAAATAGAAAATACTTTAATAGATACAAATGTAGAAACTAATTCAGAATTATTCAATTACTTTGTAATTCATCTATGAGTTAATAATTTTTTATATGGCCACATACGTATAATGCACCTATAACTTATAATACCCTATAATAAGTAGTTTCAGTTCTCTATTATTTTATGATAATTTTTATAAAATAAGCAATATTTCAGTAGAAAAAAAACTTACAAAATTAAAATACTGTTTGTTGAAATACAGACAAATTATGGATTGGACCCAAATGAGGTGCACCTGATTGGACACAGCTTGGGGGCCCATACTGCTGGGTATGCGGGCGAAAAGTTGGGTGGGAACATTGGCCGAATTACAGGATTGGATCCTGCAGAGCCCTATTTCCAAGGAATGCCTAGTCATCTAAGACTTGACTACACTGATGCCAAATTGGTTGATGTCATTCACACAGATGGCAAAAGCATCTTTTTCCTAGGTAATAGAAAAGCACGTAAAATTAGACAATACCCTTATATTTATAAAATGCAAGGCACACCTGAAAAATCATTAAACTTTGAATCATTTTAAACTATTTTAAATTTGAAACTTAAAAGACCTATCAATGATCCAAGTAACTTAATGCTTGTCTAATACTTATTTAATATACATATTAAATAAACTAAACATATATATTAACTAAATTTTTTAAGACACAGAATTAAAACAAAGAGGAAGGTGGATCTGTGTACAAACAGAATCTTTATCTACAGAGATCTCTGTTATCTCAGAATTTCTATTATCCAAATTACCGACTACTTAAATATTTCACTATCCTGTTATTTTATTTTTCAAATATTTATCTTCATACAGTATAAAAAAAAAAGATAAAATGAAAGCAATAATAATAACAGTAAACAAATTTATTGATTTTTTCACCCATCAAAGGGAAAAAATATGCTAATAAAATAACACCCTGTTTTTAATGGACCTCGAACTATATCTCTTCTTCATCTCTACTCTGCAATCATGTTACTTATGTCACCATTCTAAACTAACTTAGTACACGATAAGGACTTCCAGGATATGGAATGAGCCAGCCTTGCGGCCACTTGGATTTCTACCCAAACAATGGCAAGGAACAGCCAGGTTGTACAGATCTGAGTGAAACTACGCCTTCTCTGCCCTTGACGCTGATAAAGGAGGGTCTGGAGGAGGCATCGCGGGTACTAGTGGCCTGCAATCACGTGCGTGCCATAAAACTGTTTATCGAGAGCATCAACTCCAAGTGCCAATATGTGGCTCACGAGTGTTCCAGTTATGCGAGCTTCCTCAAGGGCGAGTGCTTCTCATGCAAGAGCAACAACAGCCTCAGCTGCGGCGTCATGGGGTATCACGCTGACACCAGCCCGGCTCTGGTCAAAAGACAAGCCATAGGGCAGGATGTCCTATCTTTGCTAGGCTCGAAATTCTTCTTCACTACTGGCAAAGAGGATCCTTATTGCAGTGAGTATCAAAGTTGTTTCAGTTTGATCATTTTAAAAGTTATTTAATTATGAATTCAGGTTAGAATCAGGTTGTCCCACAAGTAATGTCAGTATCTTCTTTTTATTCTTGAAAAGACTAGAATAAAGTGATTTATTTAGAATAAATACAACAAACACATTGTTAAAATTTTAGAATGATTACGTTATTCGTCGAGTGACCTAATAGGTTAGGCGTGATATAACAATAGACTAAAGTGAATCAAATGTATAATAATTTCTCTTAAGAAAAGAAGAGTGTTCGATAATTCTTTTACATTAGAATAACAGATTGAAGATTAAACGACTTAAATGATTTTGTTATCTTAAATAAATTTTATAAGTAATCATGAATTTCTAACTTCAAATAACTGAAATTCACGTAATTTTAATTTCTTCGATTCATTAAAACTTAGCACCCAGAAATTAGGAGATTACTAGTAACTGAAACAAATATCATAAGAAAAAGATTCTTGAAAGCATAACTATGATAAAACTAATTTTAATTACTTAGAGGAATAGAGAGAAAAATGCCTATTTCTTTTAATATTATTATTCAGTCTACTTAAATAAACGATAAAAATTTAAAGATCGTTGAGATGTTGCCGTCTAAATCCTGATTGATCAGCGAAATTGTCGCTGCAAGTTTCTAATCGATGCTTATGTGGGGCAGAGTTAAATCAGCTACGAGACACGTGGTAATTTTCCTTGCGACGATAACAGGGTGAAAGCAGGCTGTTGCAATTCATAATAATAAATAATTGCACTACTCCTACGCTTGAAATGAGTTGATCCATTCTAGAAATGTTTCAAGCAATAAAAATCCATTAGGAGTGCTTACTTTCAAAAAGTCATTTGGTAAATTTTTAATACAATTCTGACATCGTTATACGAAGAAGTATTTCCTCTTTCTTTTTTTTTTTTTAATCAATGACCGTTGGAGAAATTCTTGTACATTTCTAATACGTTATTTATATTCATTGCTTTTACCGAGAGTTTTTATAGACAAATTGGTTAACGTGTTTCGTAAACCATTATAAATAAGTTAATAAAATTTGTCAATTAGTTCCACGAAAATATTTCTGGAGCCATAATAAACGGAAAGCAATCTTTCAAATGTGTGTTTATCTTTTGTTATTGTAAAAAATAGTTAATCATATTAATTATAGAAAGTTCTCTTAATATCTCTATATGCAAAATGAATCAACTAAAATATTTTAAATTTCCTTCCTAATTATCTTTGTTTATCATTAATATTATTAGAAATTGAAAACTTATTCATCCTGTATATTTCTTAATTTCCCATTTGACACCGTAATCACCCTACCGACAATGTTAATAATCGTTTTAACTTTTATCCATTATTTTTACCCGTGCATTTCAACGATTTCACAGGGAGACACTACAGGATTACTATTAATCTTGCCCGACCATCGACTGCGGAAAGCTGGGTCCAAGGTTTCATGAAAGTCACTCTTCACGCGGAAAACGGCATCATTCGGGACGTCGATCTCACTCCTAGGTAACTTTCATCCGCCTCTATAGTTTCAACAACATCAATCCCGTCGTTTCGTTTACCAAATATTATCTTCTTAGTAAATCAATTAAATCAACGACCTGCAATATTATCTGTTTACTAAATAAATACAAAAGCATAATTAATTTAAAGAGGAAACAAATACTAATTTACAATGAATACAAATTTGGAAACACAAGCGGCAAGCGATCGTTTGTGATAATGATGGTAAAATCAAAAAAATTTCGAAATTCGATACATAACCTTGTCTCATATGATTCATATTGGAAGAGCGCAAAAGCCCGTCAACAGAAAATGATACTTTCGAAAAGATAAATTTTACTGCTTCTTTCACCCGCGACTGCAGCGGTTACATGAAATTGGAACACGGATCGACAGTGCGAATGGTCGTCGCTCATCCAGCCGGGGCAACCGGAGAAATTGGAAAAATCAGACGGGTTGAACTTTCATGGGCTTACGATATGGACGTATTGCAACCAAGATCGCTATGTTTTTTCTGGTGCAACGATCGCCTCTACGTGAACAGCGTCACCGTGGATGTCATGGAACTTCCAGGCAGAGGGTAAGTCAACTTTAATGTTTTCATAAAGTGTACATTTAAAGTGATTCTACATAACTGATTATGATTTGAGAAAAAATTCTTTCGGGTGATATATACCACTACTCATAAATATTAGTCCATCCATTAACTGTTATTTTATTCACAAGTATAAGATTTTCAAAAAACTATCCTTCTTTATGATATAGGCCACTGAATACATTAAATGTGTGACTTGTTCCCCAATAATTCCCAAAATAATGTAATCTGGAATACAGGATATTTTAAATGAATAAGTGAACAAATACTTATGAGTAATAATATACTTGGAAGAAACATTTTATAAAGATTTAAATTCTAAGAATAAAATATTGAAATAGAAACATATTTATGCTATTCAATGGGGTTTCTCTTCACAAGGTGCAATGCAAGATAAATACACTTGCAAGATGGATTTTTAATGGATATGGAAGTAGTATTTCAAATTTGTACATCAGAACAATAAGAAATGTATAATGTCTTATGAGTTTTATTTTCTTAAGTGAAATATTTGTTTTTGAAAGGTATAATGATACTCAGTTGTTCCACTTTTTAAATAGGATATTCTTTAATTACACTAAAATATTTTTAAATGCAATTCAATAAGAGGTTCAATAAAAATATTATAACATACAACAATATTGAGTATTTGCAGAAAATGTGCAATACAATAAGTTCTATTATATGTTGATTGTAATATCACACACTATTCTTTGTTCTTCTTGAAACAACATTAATGAAGTTTAGCATTCATTTATTAAACATTGCAATTTAGTAAGTATTACAATTAAATTAACACAAATCACTAGTAATCACAATATTATTAATATATTAATTTACTAAATTTTAAATCATAACATTACATACTCTTTTCTTACTTATTTTTATAACAACAATGATTAACATATTTATTAAATATTATATCACTTAACAGTACATATATTTTCATAGGGAAGAAGTTTATTTAATTAAATGTACTTACCTTGTTGTGTGCAGAAAAAGGGAGACAGACTTCACCAGTAAGCTTTGCTCAGCAAGCAGGCAGGATTATGCAGAAATTGCTAGTGGTTCCACAGCATCTTTCATCGACAACTGCTGACAGTGTCTTCAAGTTATTTAACATGTATCTGATTACAACGTGATAGTAGTTCGAGGTTCTCGTTCCTGTGAAAAGTATAACAATTAAAATCAAATTGACTATACTTTTAACAATAAGAACTTGCAACATGAATGGTGAAAATTATGAAAAATCTACAAGATTAATTGAATCTGCATTTCATGATGCTTTAACTTATATTGTGTTGCCAAATTATATTTTTGTGTTGAAAAAGTGAGACAGAATTTGTTTTGACAAAGTTTATTTAAGAAAAAAAAACAATTATAATTTCATGTATATAATAGCAACTGAAAGAAAACAAAGTGCACGACTCACAGGTAAAAAAATCTTAAACAGCAATACTTATCTTTCAAAAGGGAAATGTCGGTGGAATTATTTTCACATATCACAAAAATGATTTTTTAAAAATCTACTATTCATACAAAGAAATCGCTTTACAAAAAAAAAACGCCTCAACGAATCACTGTGTTGAAGGAATTCACATTTCTTTTTTTCCCTAAAAGATGCGTTGCAACATAAATAACGGACTCGATAGGAAATATGTAATATATTCGTAATCAGCGCGTGTCTGCAGTAGTATTAATACCATCAATTACTTTGTACATCTTGTATATAAAACTGGATAGGTGTAACTAGATAATGCTAGTATTAGTATAAAAGCAGGTAATTTTGTAAGTGATCATTGACAGTTTCTGGCAAAAACTTACTAACGCAACAAACTTTTGGTTCAAATGTGAACTGTACCCACGTACACTTTTATACAATATTTACATAAAGAAAAAAACATCAGCCGTTGCAACATAATATAGCGACAATCGTTTGTGATATTTTTCTCGCTTTCGTTTTTATATAATTTAAATATTACGTTTAAATACATAATTTACTGGTAACTTTCGATATTAAAGATTGTACAAAACCGAGAGTAAGAGGACAGCTGTAAATGATACGAATATTGTTGAAGTGTCTTAAATATAAAAAAAAAAAATTTTTATAAATATCTCAATGTAAAATATAAACTTGTTATGCCATATAACGACAACGTTGTGGTTTACAAACGCGATGCTCAATGATAATACCGTTCTAATCGAGAAAAGTTTAATTTTTCTTTTCTTTTATAGAGGTAAGTTTCCAGAGGCTACAGGAAAAGAAACACATTTGTACAGCTTGCTAATCTTTTGCAATGTTTACTCCTCAATAAACGTTGTACACGTCAATTCGTCGCCTATACAAAAAGATCATCGCGGAGTGCAGCTATACACGGTAACACATGATTTTTATCTTACACGAGATTCAACAGTGATTGAGTAAAAAAGCCGTCCGCGTTTGGTCAACGCGGTAACAAGGGTTGGTAAAATATATAATATGAATATATAGCGATATACATAATATAATCTAATAATCTCTATCTGTATAACATATAATCTGCATATAAATAATAAATAGGAAACGAGGAGCAGGATTGGTGATTAGCTTGGTAAGACTTTAGCACTAAATTACCATTACGAACATCCATGAGTCTATGGGGCATCGTGTGATAATGATAAAAAAAAAACAAAGGTGAAAGATAATAGAGAACAGTGAAATAACTAACAATACATGTGAATATATAGCTGATTCATTTGGCATAGTAGTCTAGAGCGTTCTTTCTTCTAGCGCGCAATAGAATGGTCAGTGAAGATCATCGACCCAAGCAGTTTCTAATGACTCGATAAGAGTACGAACAAAAGCCATTTCTTTTCGTGCATTTTCCAAGATCACGCGAGGATCTTGTGAGGTACACCGCAATATATTTGGTGCCATCACCATTGCTAAATTGTTTGCATCCATTTTAGTACGGGCAACAACATCAGGTCTGGCGAAAATCTGTAACAAATAGTTTCTACGTTACAAGAAATTTAATCGAAAAGATATGAACTAAAGAAATGAGATCACTGCAATGAAATCATTAATTTCAATAAAATCTGTTCTAGTAATAGTACAGTATAATATGAACAAAATGATATTTACAGAGTTTAGTTACGATAGCTAACATTATAATTCCAATTACCAATAATGTAATTTGATTGAGTCACAATCTTACTGACAGCTTGATAAAGATATCATATCTTTAATGTTATTCTTATATAAAACTGACTGTACTAATTTCCACTTATACAATAATTCACTGAAATAATGTGATTTCATAAAGCAGTATTTTGTTCATTTGCACAGTACATTTACCAAATAAACTCAATTGAAATAACAAACCTGTCTGATTGAGTAAAGACAAGTACCTGAAGGAAACGTATTAGGTGACAAAGAACGCGACGATTCAAGTCAGGTAGTCGATCTACAAGCGCGGCAACATTGGCTGCAGAAGCTTCGGCATCGTCGTGCCTCATCGATACGCATTCCGTGTAGAAGGAATCAGGTATCAACGGCTCATAAAGCTCTCGAACCCATAGTTTCAATAAAGAAGCAGGTGCATGAGCATCTTGCGAAGCTGCCAAAATTGTACTATCCTCGAACTTATCCAAGCACGCCTTTAAAGCACTGACTTCGTCCGCGTCCGCGGACACCCTGAAAATACCCTCCGTCAAGATACCGCCCCGTGCCAATACCTGGCGCGTTAACGTAGTTTGTATCCATGGTAACTCTCGATTTGGAAATCTATCTCTTTGCAGAGCCATCACTTCAGAGAGCGTCGCTCCAAACATGGACGCTCGGAATATTTGAAGCTACAACAAAAGAAAGAAAGCAGTGAATTTCTTTTATTCAAGGAAAACCAAATTATACAGTAAAAAAGGAAGTTACATACTCTTGCTTGATCAATATCTTCCATGGTAGCCTTGCGTGGTTGCCGTTTACCATGTGCTCCAATTCGTTGTAAACGACGGCAGGCGACGGTTGCATAATGACTAACTTGCACATGAATTGGCCATTTGGCCACTTCCGAGAACTGAAAATTTGGATCACGATGCCTGTTCATATAACCTTCGAGGTAAGGCTCGAATGTAGCACTAGGCGGTACAAATGCTAGACAGACGGCCATCAATTCCCAGCCTCTGCGCAAACTTTCTTTCCGTGGATTCTCTGTGGTCTGTCTACAAATCTGGACATATAGTTCATCCCGCAACGGTGGCTTTGAATATGCTGTATTCACAATGTCCATAGCTACACTGTCTAATGTCATTCCTACGTTAGTTTTCCGATCACCCATATACACTTGCACCAACCTAAACAAGTTACAGGCTTCCCGTTTCAGTAACTTTTCACCATCCACAACTACCAGCATAGGCTGTGGTATCGGATCTTTAGACCAGCTAAGAATGTCTCGGACGCTAAACTTCTTCCGGAACAATAATCTTAGCCCTTTTGGTCGTCCGCAATTTAAATTGAGATTGTCTTGTGCGTATTTCTCGATATCACCGCCGCCTGCACCGTCATCTCGTCTCGCTTCATCGATGTCGGTGTTGTCGACAACGCTGCCAACAGTAGGAACAGAACTTATTGTGGTAGACGGTAGAATTGGTGGTTGTCTTATAGCCGCTATCACGGTTTCTCGTGTTTCTGCCTGCGAAGGAATATTCGGTGGCGATGGCGGCCGTACTTGTGGCCTTGTCAATGTGTCCGCGGTGTTATAATAAGTCGCTAATCCCGCAGTGTCATAATTACCCAAATCTATAATAATTGAAACGTACAGAAAATTTTTTTCTGAGGAAAAGCTACATAGCTCGTCTCAATATATTAATATAAACAATGATTAACCTGCATAGTGATCTTCAAGGTATTCTTGACTGGAAGAATCACCTTGGTTGCTCGCTGCTTCATCATCTGCAAATTGATCGTCAGAATCATCGTCAGCTCTTCCACCAATACCTTCGCCTCTTCCACCCTCTTCATCCAAAGAATCATCACCTTCTTCTACTAACAAAGGATCTCCGAACTTGTAACAACCTATGAAATTAAGAAAAGAAATGATTAATTCTCTTAAACACTGGATTAAAAGATTATTAAATACATACCTGAGAGTTTCGCTTGCTGAATAATGTAATGCTGAAGTGGCAACAAGTGATCGGCGTCAGATAACAGATTTCCGTAAAACGGAGATGGAGGCGGACTCGGATTGCCGTTGCTTCTCTTCTTTTTACTATCATCACCTTCCGTCAATCCCTCTGTTTCTTCACCTACTGCACTATTACTGCTACTATTACTGCTATTGCTACTGCTAGTGTTACTACTAAGCCTTTGTCTAGGTTGCTCGAGACTTTGACTGATAAGATAACGCTCGTGCATAGAATCATCATCCCTATCTCTTCTTCTTGACTGTTGTTGTTGTTGATGCAGTTGTTGTAACTTCTGTTGCTGCTTTTGTTGCTGTATAAAACTGTAACTGCGAGCCAGTACCTGCGGCACACCTTAAAAATTATAAAAAAAAATAAGGGATAAACTAAAATATTTTGAAGAAAACCTAATGATTATGTTAATTAAATTTAAAAGATAAAAATGTACTTACAATCCAAGGAATTATTGCACGCTGTGTTTCTTCTATACTCTTTCTCTCTATCACGCTCACGTTCTCTTTCTCGTTCTGCAACTTCGAGACTTCTTTGCTTCGACGCATTGCTCAGAACACCTGCCCCCCTTACCAGGCTCTTAGACGGTTCGTTTCTTTCAGCTAACATCGCACCGTACATATCCCTAACGTTCGCTTCCGAAAGCGACACTGAACATCCATGATGCCTTCTTCCTATACTACCAGTATTATCTTGCTTATTCATATTACGTGGATGCATGGAACTTGGATAAAAGGCTGAAGTATTTGTTTTGTCTAAACT